GAGATTTCTTCATTGTCCACCGACATCCACATGCAAATGCTGTCGATGCCCAGGTAATGGAGAATGGCAGTGGCCTGGCCCCAGGAAGGAGAGAGCAGGACAGTGTTAGCAAAGGCCTTTCCTCCCTGTGTCCTCTCAGCTCAGCTAGGACAAAGAAAATATTTTCCTCAGTGAATCCTGAAGTCAGAGTTTTAATCTTCTCCAACTGCCCACAAACAACACAAATTTCAATTTTCAATTTCCCTCTCCCCAGGTGCAAAAGGCAAGAGCAGTGAAGGTCCAAGCCTGTCCTTACCCGAGCCTTATGTCCTGTGCACATTCCTGAAAGTGTCCTCACGGCTGCCAGGATCAGCTCAGGATTTTTGGTTTCTATCAGCTGCAGCAGCAAGTTGACCCCATTATTCTGGAAAATCCTCTCAGCACCTGCTTCCTCCCTTCCCAGGACTATGAGGTTGTTTGCAGCCTAGGGGGGAGGCACAAGAACCAGGGGTCAGTGGCACAGCCCAGCCTCCAGAACATCCCCATGCAGCTCTGGGAGATCCTGGTGGGAACCATCTCCTGACAGATGCAGCAGATCAGCTCAGACCCCACCAGACAGTTAATCCAGATGCATTTATGGATCAGCTCAGCTCTGCCCAAGAAGAGTGGGTCACTGCTTGGAAAGAACATCTGGAGGGTGGCAGGACCTGAGCAGAAGTCCAGGCTGATCCCACTTTTGGTATTTTGGGAAGCTGGGCCACCTTCCCTCAGCACAGGGGTGATTTTCCCTCTCTCTGAGTGCAGTTCACCTTCCAGCTTCTTCTCTCATCCTCCATCCAGGGCAGGTGGGGAAGGGAACACAGGGCTCTGCTCCCTGGAGCAGCCTCTGACATCAAACAGCCATTTTGCCAAGTCCAGGGCAGTTCTCACCTTTTCTCGCTTTTCTTTGTCACTGTTCTCATCCAGCAGGATCTCAAACATCTTCTGCACCCTCGAGTCTGTGGAGAACTGAATGCGCAGCTGTGCCGAGAGAGCACAGAGCATCAGCAGGAGAAAACTGAGGAGCACCTTTCCTTTTTTTGCTTCAAGAATACTCCCTCCCTTCAAACCACAGGCAGTTTAAGCTGAATAACAGGAGATAGAATTTCTCAGCAATCAGCATCCCTTGAGACCAATCTCATGGGCACAGGCAGAGCCAGCTCTAAACCTTGATTTCTGAGACTTCACAGTAGGTAGTGGTGCAAGGATTTCTTCACAGCACGGCTGTAAAGGTAACTGTAGCAATGTGGCAACTGCCAGACCCAGCCCAAAACTGGTCCAGACCCTTGCCAAGATCTTTCCAAGACACTCAGGACCAGGCCAGCCTCAGGAGGAAGCTGCCACACTTTTTAATTTAACCAATCAACCCAATCCTCAGATTTACACACATCAAGTATGAACTTCCAGTCAATGGAGCCTATTTATCCCCCTATATTGCCACGAGTTTCCAGTATGACCAACAATCCATTGATGTAACCCACAGCAAGGATTTTCCACCCCTGGTCTGTGAATCCAGCACTGTTCCCCTGGCATTTACCTTCTCCTGGATGTTGGCCCCCAGTCTCCTCAGGGTCTCCTGGAAGCTTTTGTTGCGGGGTTCAAGGGTGGCACATTTCTGAGCATCTTTGAATGCTTGGTCTAACTTGCCCAGTTTTTCCAGGGCTTGGCTGCGCCGGTACAAGGCTTTGATATCCGAAGCATTGATGTCAATAGCTGGGAAAGGGATCCAAAACAGCAGACATCAGAGCTTGCTGCTTGGAAGTGGCCTGTGCAAACTGTGATTTGCTTTGTTACTAGCATCAAGCAGTGCTTGATTAGCACTGATTGCACCAGCACAACAAATTGGAACATCACTTGAACTTCCAGGAATTCCCTCGTGGCCTCAGCACTTGGGTGTTAGTGGATATCAAGGAATAAGGCCACAGTGTCCCAAAAGCAGATGTGAGAGCAGGCTGAGCAAGTGTATCGACCTCCTTACCTCTAGATGCATCCGAGGCTGCCTTGGCATATTCCTCCTGTTAAACCAGAAAGGAGAGATTTGTTAGCCATGGAATAGCAAGGCATCTCCCCATTAGTGATGGACATTGGGACCTCTCTGTTTCCATTTCCCAGGGGGATGCCCCAGCGAAGCTCCAGCACAAGCCCAGAACATTTCATTTCAGACCAGCTGGAAACACCCTATTCAATAAATGGACAAACCACCCAGGCAACAGCCAGTGAGTGCCCGTGGCTGCCCTCCTGCTCTTCTCCCCTTGAGCGCTGCCCAGGTGAGGAGAGCTGTTCTCACCTTTTTGAGGAAACAGGCTGCCCTGTTCCTGTACAGCACCGCCTGCAGCACCTTGTCCTTGTTGAGCTTTATGGCTTGAGTGTAGCTTTGAAGGGCTTTCTCATAGTCACTGGCCTGAAAATATTTATTGCCCTCCTCTTTCAGCTGAATGGGATCTTCCATCTGGAGAGCTTGAAGGAAAAACATCAATTTGTGACCCATTTTCAACTGCCTGGGTCGCCTGCCTACTCCCCCAAGCTGAGTTTCACCATGAGACTGACATATAATTAACACACATTAATAAAAGCAGCTTACCAGGCCAAAGAGTTTTGAAAATGAAGACCTAAATTGCTCTTCCAGGCTGTGACTTCTCAGAAGCTTTTCCCACCAATGGAGATCCTTAGGAGTCAACCAACAAAAAAAAGGAATTAAAGAAATCTGCCAGCACTACAGAGAGTCTGTGTGGCTCGGGAAAGAGCTCACTTCCCACTCCAAGTTTGGGCAGGACCTGGCAGCTCCTGCTGCCTGTCAGCGGCACCTGTCACCACAGCCTGTCCCCTCCTTGTCCCCTGGTGCTTTATACGCCTGGGGAGGGCTGGGAACCAGGGCCAGCTCGGGGGGCACCTGGCTGCAGGCAGGCAGCACCCCTCTGCAGCAAGAGGGAATCCTCTCCCACCTGCCAGGGCAAATCCCAGCTCCCTGCTGCCTGCAGAGCTGCAAAGGGTGTGGGGAGCAGGAAGGGGGAGGTTCATGCCAAAAAAGCCCACGGCTGGGATGGCTGACCCCTGTCACAGTGCTCAGACCCTTTTCCCTTTCTATTTAGGGAAGCATGAGACAGCTGAGCCTCGGGGACAAGTGGCCCCAGGCCAGCAGCTGCAGCAGTGCCCAGCACCTTCCAGAATTCCCTGGGATGGAAAGCTGACTGACACCTAGCACTGCCTCCCCCTTGCAGGGCCTTTGGGAGCCCATCCCACTGAAATCCCACCGCAGTCTGGTGCTGCCACCCACCCCACATGTGGTTATTCAGCAACACTCTGACATGGGCTAACACAGAGGTCTGGGCTGGAATGTACTGGAAGTGCTGTGATGAGTGGCTCAATTTGAGTGGCACCAGGAAACAGAGCAGCACTGAGCTCCAAGAGAACTGAGCCTTTCAACCCAGCAGTCACAATCACGAATTCTGCTTTTTGATTTATCTCCCCCCAACACAGGCCTTGCCTTCCCCAGTGTACCTACCAGCATCCCAGCTATAAAGCAAAGCAGGGACTGGCAGGATGGGGGAATGACTGAGGAGAGCATGGGCTGACCAAGACATTGCCAGGAGCAAAAATATCATTGTCTTTAATTGTGTGATCTATTTTGTGGCTTGTGGCTCTTATGCAGCAAGAATGAGCACAGAACTTCCCTGTCCAGGGCTCCTGTTTTATTCACCCAGCAGCAGCAGCACTACCTTGTCCCTGGTATCTGGGCAGGAGGCAATTCCAAGTCAATTTGTAAATCCCAGCAAATCCCTTCACAGCAAATCAACACCACAGCTGCAGGCAGCTCTATCAAGAACAGCTCCCACATCTATACCTGCTGGAGAATAGGTCAAAGGCAGCAGGACAACTTTGTGAAAAGTGCAAGATGCTGTCCCTGCCTTGGACAGACTCAGTGCAGCGGCTTTTCCAGCATTCATTTGGATTAACACACCAGAAACTCCTTCCAACATGGCTTTAGGTACTCCGCAAGGCTCATCTGGCTGAAATATTAATACTCGTGGGCTATAGCACTGCCTTTCTCACGTCAGCCAGAGTACAGCTCCATTGTCACAGCGGCAGCACTGCAGGTAACTGAGTTTCAAAACCCAAAGGTGCTGGGTGCTGCTGCTGAGAGCTGAGAGCGCAGGGCAGGGCAGGCTCAGCAGCGAGTGCCGAGAGCCCTCTTCAGGCCTCGGCTGGAAAGAAAAACATAATAATAACAAATACCCCCAAAAATAGCTTTCCCAGGAGAAGCCTCCAAGGCAGCTAAGAAGGGACACATAGTTCCCAACACCTGTAGGGCAGCAAAGGCACCCAGCCCTTCGTGCGCTTTCAGTTCCCAGCGGGCAGCCCTGGCTGATGAGCACGGACAAAGCCAGCCCGGGGAGTGTCACTGATCCGGCGTGGTTTGGGTGGGAAGGGACCTTAGCGCTCTGCTCATCCCGGCGAGCGGCCGGGGAAGGGGAACCCCAGCGGGATGGGACAGCCGAGATGGGGGAAGGAAACCCCAGCGGGATGGGACAGCCGGACCGGGGATGGGGAACCCCGGCGGGATGGGAAAACCGAGATGTGGAAGGGGAATCCAAGCGGGATGAGACAGCCGGACCGGGGATGGGGAACCCCAGCGGGATGGGACAGCCGGGACGGGGATGGGGAACCCCAGCGGGATGGGACAGCCGGGCCGGGGATGGGGAACCCCAGCGGGATGGGACAGCCGGACCGGGGATGGGGAATCCCAGCGGGATGGGACAGCCGGACCGGAGATGGGGAACCCCAGCGGGATGGGACAGCCGGACCGGGGATGGGGAACCCCAGCGGGATGAGAGAGCCGGGACGGGGATGGGGAACCCCGGCGGGATGGGAAAACCGAGATGTGGAAGGGGAATCCAAGCGGGATGAGACAGCCGGACCGGGGATGGGGAACCCCGGCGGGATGGGACAGCCGGGACGGGGATGGGGAACCCCAGCGGGATGGGAAAACTGAGATGGGGAAAGGGAATCCAAGCGGGATGGGACGGCCGGACAGCCGGGCCGGGGAAAGGAAACTCGAGCGGGATGGGGAAGGCAAACCCCAGCGGGATAGGACAGTCAGGCCGGGGATGGGGAACCGGAGCGGGACGGGGAAAGGAAACCCCAGCGGAATGGGACAGCCGGGACGGAGATGGGGAACCCCTGCAGGATGGGACAGTCGGGGTGGGGATGAGGAACCCCAGCGGGATGGGACAGGCGGGCCGGGGAAGGGGAGCGGCCCCCTCCCTTCCGCCGGCGGCAGGAAGCAGGAAGGGAGCGGGCAGGGCTGCGGGGAGCCCGGGCGGTGGGTGACCATCGTGGGGCTGATGGATGGAGGTGGCTCGGGATGGAGGGTCCCCTTGCCCCGGGAGGGAGTCCCGCCGCCCGCTGTGCTCCCCCAGCGCAGCGGTGCCCCCTTGCAGGATTTTGGGCTGTTTGACCCCAAAGAAGAATTAGTTACCCACCCATCCCAAACACAGCTTGGGTGGCTTCTCCCCGGCTTCAGGCGCCATCCGTGGCTCAGTGTTGGACCTGGCAGTGCAGGGTGGAGGATTGGAATTGATGATCTTTGATGTCTTTTCCAAACTTAATGATTCAATGAATCCCACTCTCCCGTCTCCTCTGCAGGTCTCTGCTCTTCTCCCTCGCTGTGGAGATGGTGGTCCTGCAGGCTGGACTCTGCCCTGGTCTCACTGAAGACATGATCCAGCTCCTCAGGGCCAATGGCATCAGGACGGGTGACAGGGTGGCATTGGGGTGTGGGCTTGGGGAACGTCATCCCCCGTGCGTTTGGTGGGCCTGTGTCATCCCACATCCTGGGAGGGTGGTGGTGGTGCAATATCCTTCTGTGTCCTCCTTGCTGGATTTCTTCTGGGTCCTTCTGGGTGGATACTGTGAGTAAGGACTTCTCCAAAGGAGCAGGAGAGTGTAAGGATGTGGTAAGAGATCCCTGCAGAGGCTCATTGAGGATGGATCAATTCTGGCTTTTAATGGTATTTCAGAAGGGTTTGTACAGTTTTCCCTCTGAAAAATGCCCAGCTTCTTGGAATGTTGCACCCTGGGCACCTCCTGCCCTTACAGGGGAAGGAAAAGGTGCTGGGCAGCTCTTGAGCAAAACAGGGAAAATTTCTACCAGCTTTTCTCCCTACTCTGTTTTGTAAGAAACAGTTTGTTCTGTGATGAGTGATGGGGCCATCTCAGAGGACAAACTCCTCCACTCACAGTGTTGACAGAGGTCACAGACACTTTGCTTGTTGGTGCAGGTTTTGTCTAAGCTGGTTGTCTTCTGGTGTTTGTGGTCTGACCATGTTTGGCTTCCAACCTCTTGTCCCTCGTGTTATTTGCAGTGGTGGACTTTGTGTCTTCAGACCTGGAGGATGTTGCCCAAAAGTGTTCCCTGTCTTACAAGGTAGAAGCTTCTACTCCTAACTCCTGGTACACTAACCAGGGAGCTCAGAGCTCATGTTTGGCTCAGGGACAAGGATGGGCTTGTCTGGGGGGCCCTTCTGCAGCAGCTACTGGCTGTTATCAGTCCCATTTCCAGACGTGCCTCTGCCCCCAGGCGCTGGTTGCAGTCAGACGTGTGCTCCTGGCCCAGTTCTCTGCCTTCCCTGCCAATGGAGCTGACCTCTACGAGGAGCTCAAGAGCTCCACTGCCATCCTGCCCACTGGCAGCCCAAGGTGGGGACCTCACCCACCCACCAGCTCTGCCTGGGGCTGGGTTTGCTGCACAAGGCTGTGCATGCCAGCACAAGCTGTGAATTTCATTCTCCAAACCATCCCCATGCACTTGTGTGCATTTGGAATGGGGACTTTAAGGACAAATATCTGGGGACTGCTGCCTCCTGGTGCCCCTGCCATTCTGGCTGAAGGGGTGTTAATAATCCCCCCTTGTGTCCATCCCACAGCCTGGACCAGCTGCTGGACTCAGGGCTGTACACGGGAGAAGTGACAGAGCTCATGGGAGCACCAGGCACTGGGAAGACACAGGTGAGTGGGGTGGAGGACAGGGGAGAGGACAGGTAGGGCGAAGATGTCCCACAGAGGGACATGTGAGGGCTGGCTGACACCCTGTCCCTGTCCCCCCAGGTGTGCCTGGGCATTGCAGCCAGTGTGTCCCTGGGGCTCAAGCAGCACGTCCTGTTTCTCGACTCCACGGGGGGTTTCACTGCCTCCCGTCTCTGCCAGATGCTCCAAGCCCAGACAGAGGATGAGGAAGAGCAGGCAAGTTCCCCTGGAGCTGGTCCCTCTGCTTGCTCTGAAACTCATTTTGCTCATTTGCCTGCAAGAAACCCCAGAGATGGTTTGTCTTTCCAGCTCTGCCTTTGCCCTCATGGGCTTTTTTGAGTCCAAACCTTTCCTTCCATGGCCCAGTGGGTGCCATGCTCGGGACAGACTCTATTCTTTGTTGTTTGTCTTGGGAGAAGGGAGGGACTTACAGGACTTGCAGGACTTTGCTCCCTAAGCTCAATCCATGTTGCTTTTCCATCAGTGCCATAGGGGCAATGGTGTTAATGGGGTGGAGGCAAATGTGGAAGAATAAAGGTCTGTGGCATGGTGTGAGTGCAGAGAGCTGGTGGCACCTGGGCAGGAGGAACAGGACAAACCCTGGGGCAGGAGGAATAGGAGAAACCCTGGGGCAGGAGGAACAGGAGAAATCCTGGGTCAGGAGGAATAGGCCAAGTCCTGGGGCAGGAGGAACAGGACAAATCCTGGGGCAGGAGGAATAGGCCAGGTCCTGGGGAGACTGAGGCTGGTTTTGTGCTGCAGCTGGAGGCTCTGCAGCGGGTGCAGGTGGAACGTGTGTTCAACATCTACGAGGTGCTGAGTGCCCTGCAGGAGCTGCGGGATCGCCTCTCCCAGCAGGTAGGAGCGAGCCTTGGGGCCCCTCTCCCCTCCCCAGAGCTGCAGGGAGGCCAGCAGGGCTTGTGTGCCTGACAGGTGGCTCCAGATTGCCTCATGCTGGGGATGCTGGAACCTCTGTGCAGCTCACAGCCTCCAGAACTGCTGGATTTGTGACTCCACGTTGCACCTGGTGCCTCCTTGCAGGTCGTGAGCTCCGTGGGACCTCTCAAGGTGGTGGTGCTGGACTCGGTGTCGGCTGTGATTTACCCTCTGCTGGGTGGCAGGCAGTCAGAGGGTGAGCTGGGGCACTGTGTGTGCTGTGCTTGGAATGGGGCTGGGGCAGGACGGATCTGGATGTGAGTGCTCCCAGCTTTTCCCTTAGGATTGGATAAAAGGGGAGTGTTTGCAGTGTTAGCAGCAAACGCTCCAGCTGGCTGTGGCCACTCCTGGCAGTGGTCTGAAACCCATGCAGGGGAGGCACTGGACTCTTTGCCCATAAATGAAAACTTCTCTCACAGTGTCAGAAATACATCATGGCACAGTTTGCACGGCTCCTCTGAGGCCCTTTATGCCAGAAAGGACCATAAATCAGAAATGAGGATGCCAAGGAGCCCTCTCAAACACCTTCCAGAGGGTCTTGCACAGCTGAGTGGCAGCCAGTGCTGTCACAGGAGGACCCCTCACAGCTGTGGGCTGTAGGAAATGAAGCTGTGAGCTGGAGGGATGGGTCCTGTGCCTGCTAAATCATCCTGGCCAGCTTTGTCTGGAGCTCCTTATGCTTTTGTAGGATTTTTTGGGCCTTGTAAGATAGGAAAGGATGGGGAATGGTCCAGTGAAGGTGTCCATGAACTGTACTAGTGCTGGCCCTGAATCCACTGCTCATGCAAATCCAGATGTCAACTGCTTCCAGGGTGCACTTTGGGGGCTGATCCCCAGACAGATGCTTTGTCCTGCTCCAGGTCTGGCCCTCATGATGCAGCTCTCCAAGGAGCTGAAGACCCTGGCCAGGGAGTTCAGCCTTGCTGTTGTGGTGAGTGTTGCTGTGCTTTGTCCTTCGTGTGCTGGTGTGTGGCAAGGAGCCACAGGGAGGCTCTGGAGCCTGTGGGAGAGGGAGCCAGAGGCCTGAACCCTGCAGTGCCCTGCTCCCTGACATCTCTGCAGCCTGCAGATGTCTTGTTCCAAGCATGGGGCAGGACCTGGGCTGATGTGCTGCCTCCTGCTCTTGCTGTCCTCAGCCATTCACTGGGTTGAGCAAGGCAGAGTTAAGTCCAGGCAGGTTGAAAGGCTGGTTGTGTTTATTTTTTATACAACACCATTCATTTGAGGGGCTGGCCAGCTTCCTGAGTGACCTCTTGGTCACCTTGCAGGAGCTGCAGGGCATTGCATCACCCCACAGGAGCTGCAAAGGGCCCTGCTCTAGCCTTGCCAGCTCTTGGCCAGTGCATCAGGCAGGTGGGTGGGACCACAGTTAATGTCTCTGAGCAGGCAGTGTCACACCAGAGGATGGTGGTCTGCTGAGCCTGGCTCTGGAGGGTGTTGAGACAGTCCTGCCTTTCCTTCTGGTAGAATGACAAGGACAGTGTGTCTGGAAGGACACTTGGAGGCCCCAAGTTAAACTTTGTGGTGATTTCAGCACCAGGAGAGATGCAGCTTGCAGATATCAGAGAACTCCCTGACATTGCTCTGGGCAATTACCTGGGCTGTGCTCGGAGGGGATGGCAGAGGAGATGAAGGAGAAGGGAAAACCTTCATAGAAGCAGCAGCACGGCCAGGATTTCCTGGTGACCTCCAGTGTGTCACTACACCGAGTGGCACTGCTAGGTCTGTTTGTGCTGCAGGTGACCAACCAGGTGACAAGGGACAGCAGCAGTGGCCCACTGAAGCCAGCCCTCGGCCGCTCCTGGAGTTTCGTGCCCAGCACCCGAGTGCTGCTGGAGAGCAGAGAAGGCTCCTGGGAGAGACCCAGCACACAACGTGCAGCTTCCCTGGCCAAGTCACCCCGGCAGGTGAGCATCCATCCATCCGTTCATCCATCCGTTCATCCATCCAGCCCTCCATCCATCCATCCATCCATCCATCCATCCATCCATCCATCCATCCATCCATCATCCCTCCCTCCCTCCTTCCCCAGCCTGGCAGTTGGAGAGCAGCTTGTGCAGCCTGGGTGGGTGCTGCAGAGGAGAAGAGCAGAGCATCTGTTCCCAGCAGCCTGGGCTGGTGTTCATAGGCAGGACAAATGAGTGGCACTATTGTATTTACAGGGAATGTCCCAATGAAGGCAGGAATGATGAATCTGACTCCATGTTGTCAGAAGGCTCATTTATTACTTTATAATACTATATTATATTAAATAATACTATACTAAAGAATACAGAAAGGATACTTACTGAATGCTAAAAAGATAATAATGAAAACTTGTGGCCCTTTTCAGAGTCCCAACACAGCCTGGCCCTAATTGGCCAAAGAGTGAAAACAACTCACAGCAGAGTGCAATGAAACAATCACCTGTGGGTAAACAATCTCCAAACACATTCCACATGAGCACCACACAGGAGAAGCAAATGAGATAAGAATTGTTTTCCTTTTCTCTGAGGCTTCTCAGGAGAAAAATCCTGGGCGAAGGGATTTTTTCAGAGAATGTGAATGCCACATGGCACCACTTCCAATCCAGGTCGCTGTGTTCCTGATGCTGGTTTCACTCTCCTAATGGTGTGTGGGCAGTGAGGGTCCTGTGGAAATGGCTCTGACACCTCCAAAGGTGACTTCAGCTTGGGGCCTGCCTGTGCACAGGCAGCATGATATATTGGTCTCCTCGAGCCAGGTGTTATGAGCTCTTGGAGATCTATTTCACACCTGAGATAGCACAGCCACCTCAGATGGCATAAAATCAACAGGATGGCTTCTGTGGTAGTGTTAGAAACAGAAAAGTTTCATTAAAAGGCAAAATAACAAAGCTCTTTACAGAGAAAACCAGAGCCAGGGGCAAGAGGCTCTTGCTCCTGGTAAAACACCTCACAAAAGCAATTTTTTCCTTTGTTCTCTTCTTTTTCTAGTGAATTGCTCAGGCAGGACTTTTGGCTTCTGTCCAACTGGCTATCCTTAAGTTTGAGGTGAAGTCCCCAAGGTCCTATGAGGTGTCTTTTTACCTAATTGAGGAGAGAAGCTTCTGGGCATTTTTTCCTTTTTAAGGAGACAAAGGATAGTTTGGTCACTCAGTCAACAGAGGGCACATTCCTACTGAATTCCCCATTCAGCCCTGCCTGAGCCTTCTGGCTCTGAGCCTGCTCTGCTGCTTGATCCAGACAGATTTGGGTCTGGTGGTGTGCTAGGCAGTGAAATGCATCCTGGATGTGCTAAATGGTGGTGTGTCTGGGGATGTCTCAGAGCAAGATGTTCTTTCTGTGCTAAATTGCATTGTCTATTTGTGTCTCTGCATTCAGCAGTCCCAGTTAAAACAGGGGCACCAGCAGCAGGAAATCCTGAGGGGGATTAACTGGGACTTTTGGCTCTGAGACTGGAGATGGAGTGATGAAGAGCCCAGCAGTGTGAGGATAGGCTTTGCTCTGTTCCTCCTTGCAGCCAACAGGGATCCAGGTGGAGCTGGACATTGGAAATGGTGACGTGTTGGAACCCAGCCTGGTGACAGCCACACAGGGCCTCTGATGGGATGGAGAAGCAAATGTCACAAGGTTCAAGAGAGCTGCACAAAAGCAGGCAAGCACTGAAGGTTTTGCAAACTGACTGAGAGTCCTGCAGCCCTGGGAAGGACCAACAAGAAAAATCTCTTGTGGGAAAACTAAATGTGGGTTCCCTGGAGACCTCTGTGCCTGCAGTGGCTGGGCTGTGAGGGCAGCCAGGTCCTGTCCTCTGCTGTCTTCACCCCCCAGAGCCAGCCCTGTGCTCAGGTTTGGGATCAGCACAACCCCACAAATCCCCTGTGCTGGTTCTGTCCCCCTGTGGCTCCCTGACCTCTGGAGTTCTGATCATCCTTGGGCCCACAGTGGGCTTGGTTCAGAAATAAAACAAAAAAAAAAGCTGTTTCACATGGCTGTGGTTGTTGAGAGCTGGAATTCAGTTAATGACAGCTGCTCTGAACTTAATTAAAATGTTGAGCAGGCCTGGGGTGGGACAGGCTGCTGATGAGCAGGGACACAATGGGATGCTTGATCTTCCCTTCTCCCCAGAGGAACACCAGGCCCTGTGGGGACCTGCTGGTGGTTTTGGGGCACAGCTGGGCTGTGCAAAGCCTTACTGCTGACTGATGGAGGTTCTGGTCTGGATCAGCTGGGGCAGATGGGTTCTGGCTGGCACCAGCTGGCCCTGCTGGATGCTCGAGGACCTGTTCAATTGCATGTGGTGATGTTTAAAATAATCTTGCCCTGCTCCAGTGCTTTCCAGCTGCTCTTGTGTGCTCTTGGCAACCTCCTGAGGAGAGGGAGGCTTGGATGTGGAGTTTCCTCTTGATCCCAGATGTCTCAGATGCCCTCAGTTTAAGAGACCTCCTTGGCAGGTGAGCTGAGCCATGGCTTGCACTTCAAGGCAGCTGATGGAGAATTTGGGGGCTGGGACTAATTAGGGCATGCTCATTAAACTAATGATACAGCACCACAGATGCTGGAGCCCTCTAAGGCTGTGCTTGACACATTAAATACATATTTTTTACTGAAAACTTTCTAAAACTGTGTATTTATTTGCATTTCTGGGCTCTCCAGGCTCAGGAGGGGAGGTTTGGCTCTAGGGATTGCAGCTGGTTGTTGGGGTGAGGAGGAAGAGGATGGTTTTCCTGTCTGCTGGGGACCTGTGCTGACGTGGCTGGAATTTACAAGCTAAAATTTACCTTATTAGCCAATTTCTTGTTAGTTAATTCCTTGCTAGCTCCTCTCTTGGAGCTGTGGATAAAGGGGTGGTGCACACACATTTTAATTTCTGATTTATCTCTCTGCCTCAGGTTCTGCAGGGGAGGCAAAGCTCTTGTGGGGGAGTGTGGAGCAGGGAAGAGCCAAGCAGAAACCTCTGGGGTTATATTTGAACCAAGAGGGCTTTCCAGATGTTTCCTTCCCCTAACCAGCAGGATGAGAAGAGGAACAAAATGTTAGAGTCAGCATGAGACCAACCATGTGTGATCCCTGAGAAATGACAGGAGAAATTCCAGCCTTGCACTCAGTCCCCAGGGAGTCACGGGGTGGTGACTCAACGGGGACACTGCCAGTCTGTCAGGAAAGGTGATGGTGTGAGCTCTGGGCTCCTTCAGAGCTTCCCACCCCAGCTTTCATTGGCATAATGGTGACTGGGGGGGGGATTTTCTCTCCTTGGCATTCAGCTCATTGCTGCTGTGGGAGTTTTTTCCCTTTTGGGAAACATCTGGGGAGGGTGGTGTGATTTGGGTCTGGCTGGGTTTTGTGTGGCAGCTCTTCTGCTCCCAGGTGTGCTCTGAGCTCACAGGGCTGAATTTCTGGCTGTGTTGCTGCAGGGAAGGTGTCGCTGTGGCTGCTGGCTGTTTCACAGTGTGGGGACAGCAGGAGTGTTCAGGGAATCTCTTACCCCATCTGGAAAAACTTGACTTCCTGCTCAAGCTGATTTGCCCTAAATTTGCATAGTAAAATCAGGCTTAAAGGAGTTTCTGACCTAAATATCCTCATTAAGCCTTTCCCCACCATGCTCAGTCAGGCACTCCTGCAGCTCTCTAATGCAGAGTTCAGGATGTTCTTTTTCCCTGCCTCTTCCCAATGCTCAAAACAGCTGGAAAACCTCTGGAAAGGCTTGGAGCAGGGCAGTGAATCCCATGCCAGGGCAGGCAGGGCACCTCTCACTCCGAGCAGCAGGGATGCCTTTTGGCACTAAGGGCTTATTTGTCCTTTTGTACATATTTTTGAATATATAAAAACATATATATATATATAAATATAAAAACATATTATATATATTTGTATATTTATTTGTATATATATTTTTACATATGAAATTCACATATAAATGTGTGTTTACACGAATAGTGTGCACATATGTGTGTGTATGTATGGGCTGTGTGTCCATGTCTCTGTATCTCAGTATAGGAGGACAGGAGTCTCACGCCGTGCCGGGGCAGGTTCAGGTTGGACACGAGGAGGAAGGAAGGGTGATTAAACATGGGAATGGGCTGCCCCGGGCGGTGGTGGGGTCACCATCCGTGGGGTGCTCAGGGAGAGCCTGGATGGCTGGCCGATGAGATGTATTCCATGCCGATTGATTCTGTGATCTCTCGGTGTATGCTCCCTTCCCGTAAAATGCCGTGCGCACCCAGGGACTCCCCCAGCGCACAGGCACCCCGTAGTACCCCTCTTCCTCCTCCTCCTCCTCCCACCTGCCTGCGGCGGGTCTCGAACCCGCGGATATCGGAGCCCCCGCGGAGTCCTCCTGGCCGCCAGGGGACGCTGCTGCCCCGCCCGGCTGCCCTGGGGCCGCTCCGGCCGCCGGGCCCCGCGGGCAGTTGCCATAGCGCCGCCGCCGCCGAGCGCAGGCACCGGGACGGGACCGCCCGCTCCAGGCCCGCCGGCCCCGCCGCCACCCGGGACGCGGCTCCTCAGGGGGAAGGTGAGGCGGCTGCGGCTCGGCTGGGGTCGGGGGGCTGCCAGGTGTGAGGGCTGTGTGCGGGGCTGGGGAGGCTGACAGGGGTGGAGCGCTGAGGGGAGCTGGCAGGTTCGGGAGCGTGGAGCGCTGGGGTGCAGAGGGGGCTGGCGGGTTTGGGGACGTGTGTGGGGCTCTGGGGGGAGCGTTTGAGGGTTTTGGAGAAGCTGGCAGGGTTTGGGGGTGTGGGGCAGTGGGGGCTGCCAGGGTAGGGAAGGGTGAGGGGGGCAGGGGAGTGCGGGGCCCGTGAGGCCGTGGAGCTGTCACTGAGGGCTAGCCAGGAGCTCCAGTGGCTCTGCGGTGGGGTGTTGGCAAGTGTAGGGGGACACAGGGCACAGGGGCTGCCAGGACTTGGGGACAGGGCAGGGGGAGTGGGGCTGCTCGGCTTGGGGCAGCTGCAGCACCTGGGTTTTGGTTTGGGGCGATGGGGTCAAAGGGCTCCCTCACAGGGTTTCCCTAATGAGGGGGAGTGGGACCCTGGTGCAGCCTCTTTTTTATGTTAAGGGTGGTGATGAGTAACTCTTCCCTTTCTGAGTTCTGCTCCCAAAGGGCCTCTGTGGTTCAGTAGGTTGTTCTGCTCAAATTGCTATGAGAGCTGAGGAATTCTGGATAAGCACCAGCCTTCTGTAGAGCTCTCTGCTTAAATTATTGTCTCTTTGCATTTTAGCATGTCCAAAGTGTAATTTGGTGTTAAGGACCTAAAAAATTTCCTTCTCTGCTCAAAAACTGGGGGCGTAGTGCAAAGTGAAAGCTGAGCAAGTCCTTCCTTTGCTGCAGAAGGCAAAAGTTGTTGAGAAAATAAAAGTCCTCGAGTGTCCTTCCGAGCAGTTTGTTCCTGTAAGCAGGTCAAGGTGTTTCCTGTGGGGAAAGTATTGACTCATTCTCAGGTTTCTTAGCAGTGTTTTGGTGTCTGCAGGTTAATGAATGTCAGCTCTGCAGTGAGAGCAGAGTCCTGCCTGAGTCTCCTCAGGTGGAAAGGCTGAGGATGGACGGGCTCAGTGTTTGAGAAGCAGTCACACTCCAGAAAAAACTCAGGTGTTTTCCAGCCCTGCAAGGAATGACAGCTGGGCGTGCTTAGTCAAGCGCAGCATTAAAGGTGGATAGGAAGGGTTTAATTTTATTCTTCTTGGATTAAGCTGTGCTCAGGGTAATGTTTAATTGGCTGAGACAGAAGGGGTTTATTTGTGTGTTTCATTTGAGCTCACTTCCTCCTCTCTGACACAGCATGTCTTCTGTGGGGAGCACAGGATGTCAGCTCAGATGTTGGTTGGGGAGAACTCCTCCACAGCAGTGCAGGGACCTGTGGCACTTTTCTGTCCTTTCCAGCCTCACTGTGGAGTTGGTGAAAAGCTTAGCAGATCTACAAGGAGCTTTTTTAGCTCTCCATATCATTAGGATGGGAGATGATGGGTGCATTTTAAGTTGGTAATTTATTGTGTTTACACTCTGGGCTGTATTTCAACACTTCGAAGCTCAGATTTTAAGACAGATTATCATTAAGGCATGTACAGGATTGTGTCAACAAAAAGAGTTTTAATGCTTTGTTTTCCCACTGTTCCCTCATTTTTCCAGACCAGAGGAGTGAAGCAGAAAGCTGTGATGAGCTTTAAATGTTTCCTACAATCCCAGATCCTTGGTTTATCTACCTCCACCCATGGAATACTGAATCTTATTAACTCCTTAGTGCCCACAGTGATGGAGAGGGGGATCTTGTAGTCCTTCTCTGTGATCACAATTGGTTTTGGTGGCACAATTGGCTCTAATGAACCAAAACAATCACCTTTGGCTGTTGTGTTTCCCATTGAGGGCTGGGAATCCTGGAGCTGCAGCACTGTGTGACTGCACATCCACTCAGCTGTAGCAACTGAACCTTTAATTAAAGGCTGAGTGCCTTGGCAGTGGTGCTCATGGGTTAATGCTTAATTGCTCAAGTTTTTGCTGAATTGGGATAGTTTTGAAGTCATCACATAAGTATTGTGTTAATTGTAGGGTAGAAAAAGTAGGATGGCCTCCAGTGAGGCTCAGTCTTTCTCACTGGCAGGTACCATGTGAATTGGCTCCTAAAATCAGAGCTGAATGCCCTGCTCTGCACTGAGAGTACAAAGGAATCAAAATGTGAGGTTTTGGGAGTGGTCACTAGTTGAGTTTATGACTGAAATCTGTCTTCTTCACATCTTCAGTTTTCTGTTTGCTGTTGTTGACTTCAGTGTGGGTTTGTGTTGTTTTGTTTGTTTGTTAAATGGTGTAATTTTCACTTCTTGTGCAACTTTGCACCACGGTTTGTTGTTAGTAACAACTGAGATTGTAAACTCTTCAATTAGGCTGGAGCATGAGCTGAGCTGAGCTGCCAGTGCTGTTATTAACCCTGTAGTTTGGACTTTGAACCAGTTTTTGCCTGGAGGGGTGGAAGCAGATTTCCATGGTGTGTCTGCTCTGTGTGCCTCTCCTGGGCCAGCTCAGAGGGGCAGTGGGGCTGGGCAGGCTGTCTGACCCAGCACTGCAGTTTGTGTCCTCAGGTCTGGCTGGTAAAATGCTCTCCTCACCTAGGCTGCGTTGGTTTTGCTGTAGGAAAAATGGTGTTTAATTAGGGTTAGGCTGCTTTCCTGTCCCTTCTAGTGGGTTTTCCTAGGATAGGGAATCACAGAGTGGATTGGGTGGAAGGCCCTTAAAGTTCACCTAATTAAAGATCCCCTGGCTCTATCTCTTCTTCTCTAAACTTTCTGACCAGTCCTGAAGATAAGAAATCAAAATACATTGAACCAAGTACTTGAGCTTGATGAAACACAGCAGGATAATGAGAGCTGCAGAAAGGTGTGTGCACGTGGCCCTTTTTTGGACACAGCTGTGTGTGACCTGCTGCTGAGCAGGGAGAGGGAACCTCTGGGTACCTGGCAGTGGTTTTGCTGTAGGAAAAATGGTGTTTAATTAGGGTTAGGCTGCTTTCCTGTCCCTTCTAGTGGGTTTTCCTAGGATAGGGAATCACAGAGTGGATTGGGTGGAAGGCCCTTAAAGTTCACCTAATTAAAGATCCCCTGGCTCTATCTCTTCTTCTCTAAACTTTCTGACCAGTCCTGAAGATAAGAAATCAAAATACATTGAACCAAGTACTTGAGCTTGATGAAACACACGGTGGGCAGCAGGCTAGTGAGAGCTGCAGAAAGGTGTGTGCACGTGGCCCTTTTTTGGACACAGCTGTGTGTGACCTGCTGCTGAGCAGGGAGAGGGAACCTCTGGGTACCTGGCAGTTAAGAGAAGTTGATTCTTCTCTCTAGTCCCAGCTCTGGCTACAGACACAACCCAGCTTTACCTGGATGTTGCTGGCAGTGTGGATGCTGGAGTCTGGACTGAGCTCTGGAAGTGGTGCAGCCAGAGCCCTGCTGAGCTCTCTGGTTCACTGCCTGTGCCTTGTGCTCTGCACTTCCATGGATTTACCTGGATGTTCCCCCAGCCCTCCCCTGACTGCCCATTGTGAAACCCCAGCCTGGCTCCTGCTCCCCGGAGTGATTCCAGTCATTGTCCCTGACAATCCCTCTCTGTGGTTTCCCAAGCCTGCTTTCCTCCCCTTCCCAGGGACTGTCCTTACAAAAGCCAGGGGTGGGAGAGTGAGCTTCCCTGAGCTGGCATTGAGGGAGCAGGGAATGCTTTGCAGGGGTGAGTGAGTGGAATCTCTGTTTCACAGGGGGACAATCCAATCGTGTCACTGCTGGGCTGATGTCAGGACCAGGACTCACCTGCATACAAAGGCTTCAAACCCCCTGCTGGTAGGTGCCTCTAAAGTTGATTATTTAGTGTTCAAGCAACATTACAAGGTTGAAAAATTACCCTTTTCTTTAAGAAACCAAGAGTATGACTGTCAAATCAAGAATTCAGATTTTGTGTTAGGTTTTTCCTTCTTTCTCAGCTGGTTTTCCCAGTGCTGAGATGGCTCATTCTAACCTCTGAAAGGCCTTTTTGGCTTGTTCAATTTATGCTCCCATAAGGGACTTTCTTTAGAAAGAATTGTTGTTCTGAGATGCTGTTAATTCTTCTCAGTGTCTGTAAAATCTACAACTTCTTCACATTGATTGCTCTTGAGGTTTTCAGTTTGCTCAAAAATATTAACCAGGCTTCTTTCTCTAATGCCCTCTGGCTCCTTTGCCAAATAGTCTTGGAATAGGAATTTCCACATTTTATTTCGGTGGAGACTAAAATATTCATTAAACATC